TCCCTGGGTGGGGCATTCATTCCTCCCTGAGCTGGACAGTTCTATTTGGGCAGGTCCCTACATTTGGCTCTATCAACCTCTTTGTATTAGAGAATATGTGCTTGACTCCCATTTTGCTGATGGCGCTGAGGTGACTCCCTGGATGCCCTCTGTACCCCTAGACTGAGCCCTCTATCAAAGAACTGCCCCTACTTGTGCCCCCTGCCAGGTTTTTCCTGGAGATTTACAGCATCCCCAGAAGCACATTTAAACACTCAAAAAAAAATGGTCTGATCTTAATCTTTCCAGAAATCAGGGATCAGTTTGAGTTTCTCTGAATGATAAAACCCAAGAGGTTTCATTATGTAAATGCTGCCCTGTGAACTCATCAGAAAATCTCAGGCCTGCCCCTTCCAGCTCCCACCGGCAGCTTTGGAGGCTCTGGCTCTGTCCCTGTGGTAGTTGACACTTGCACATGGGGTAGTTGACACTTACACACACAACAGGGCCAGGAACTTTACGACTTTGATACGTATCTAAAATGTGGAGCCAGCATGGTGGCTCACGCCTGTAATCCTAGCACTCTGGGAGGCTGAGACGAGTAGGTTGCTTGAGCTCAGGAGTTCAAGTCCAGCCTGAGCAAAAGCCAGACCCCATCTCTTAAAAAAACAGGAAAACTAGCCTGGCATTGTGGCATGCGCCTATAGTTTTAGCTACTGAGAGGGCTAAACCATGAAGATCAGTTGAGTCCAAAGGGTTTGAGATTGTTTTGAGCTATGATGACACTATGGCACTTTACCCAGCTCTGTCTCAAAAATAAATAAATAAAATGTCAGAGTCTCTTCTCTTTTCAAAGAGATTAAGAGGAACCATAAAATTTTCTCTTGTGTTTGCCTGTTCTCTCTCCTCCTTCACAAATTTCAAAATACTGTTAATTCCTCATTTTAAGGAGGAATGAAATGTAGAACGTTGTATTTTGTAATAGTTACTTCTGTGAGGGCCCTCAATAGGAGGTGCTAGAAAAAGAATTTTTTTTTTTGAGACAGAATCTCACTCTGTCACCCTGACATTGAATGCGGTGGCATGACAGCTCACAGCAACCTCAAACTCTTGGGCTCAACTGATTCTCTTGTTTCAGCCTTCTGAGTACTGGGAGTATAGGCACCTACTACAAAGCTGGGTTATTTTTAGAGATGGGGGTCTCGCTCTTCCTTAGGCCAGTCTCAAACTCCTGAAACAATCCTCCTGCCACTGGATCCCAGAGTGTTAGGATTACAGGCATGAGCCACTGCGCCTGGCCTGTTGATATTTGGGTCTTTTTTGTTTTTTTTTTTTTGAGACAGAGCCTCAAGCTGTCCCCCTGGGTAGAGTGCCGTGGCATCACAGCTCATAGCAACCTCCAACTCCTGGACTCAAGCGAGTCTCCTGCCTCTGCCTCCCAAGTAGCTGGGACCACAGGCGCCCACCACAATGCCTGGCTATTTTTTTTTTTTTTTTGGTTGCAGGCATCATTGTTGTTTGGTGGGTCGGGCTGGATTTGAACCGGCCACCTTAGGTGTATGTGGCTGGCGCCTTAGCGACTTGATTCACAGGTGCCAAGCTGATATTCGTTTTTTGGTACAGAGTCTCACTCTGTTACTTAGGCCAGAGAGCCATGGCATCAGCCTGGCTCACAGCAGCCTCAGACTCTTGGGCTCAAGCAATCCTCCTGTCTCAGCCTCCTGAGTAGCTGGGACCGCAGGTGCCTGCCCACAATGCCTAATTTTTCTAGCTTTGCTCAGGCTGTTTTCAAATTCCTAAACTCGGGGAATCCTCCCACCTCAGATTCCCAGAGCTGGGGTACAGGTATGAGCCTGGCCAGACTAGGCATTTTTAGAATAAGGCTTTAGGGTGGCCCTGCTGGGGAAGCAGAAGTACAACATTAGTGGGGTGATGAAAGGAGAAGGTTGTGGCCCATGACAGAGTGAGAAAACCCACCATTGGAGACCTGAGGGAATTTGTCGGTTGCTGATGTGCCATTCCCTCTATTAATACTGGAATTTCTTAGAAGAGCACATACCAAGCCACAGATCAAGGGGCCACTTGGTGATGAATCAGGGACGGGCTGGAACCCCCTCGGTAATGCTTCATCTCCTTACCTCCAACTTACACAACCACACAGGACCGGCTGGAGATCCAGAGGCTCCACTATCCAGAGCACAAGCACAGAAGCTGTGACGATGTCCTCCCCAACCTCCCAGGTGTAACAGAAAGTGGCTGCCCCCTCACCCTCACCTCCCCCAGTCATGCACACTTCTAGACTTGTGTCTCCCAAATTTTATGTTTTGAAAATTTAATTCCCAGTGTGGCAGTATCAAAAGGTAGGGCCTTGGCTCGGCGCCTGTGGCTCAAGTGGTTAAGGCGCCAGCCACATACACCTAAGGTGGCAGGTTGGAATCCAGCCTGGGCCCGCCAAACAACAACCAAAAAAAAAAAAAAATAGCGGGGCGTTGTGGTGGGTGCCTTGGTGGGTACAGCTACTTGGGAGGCTGAGGCAGGAGACTCGCTTGAGCCCAGGAGTTGGAGGTTGCTGTGAGTTGTGATGCCACAGCACTCTACCCAGGGGGACAGCTTGAGGCTCTGTCTCAAAAAAAAGAAAATAAAAAAAGGTAGAGCCTTCATGGGTGGCGCTGGCCACATACTGAGGGTGGTGGGTTCAAACCTGCCCCCAGCCAAACTGCAACAAAAAAATAGCCAGGTGCTATGGTGGGCGCCTGTAGTCCCAGCTATTGGGAAGATGAGGCAAGAGAATCACCTAAGCCCAGGAATTGGAGGTTGCAGTGAGCTGTGTGATGCCACGGGGGCCATAAAGTGAGACTATCTCTACAAAAAAAAAGAAAGTAAAAGAAAGGTGGGGCCTTCAAGAGGTAGTGATTGGGTCATGAGGGCCCTGCCTCATGAAAATGGATTAATTGATTCATGGATTAATGGAGTATGATGGGAGCGGGACTCCCTTGGTGGCTTCATAAGAAGAGGAAGAGAGACCGGAAGACATTATCACACTCGGCCCCTTCACCATATGATATCCTGCACCTCTACAGGACTCTTCCCGACCAGGTGGCTCTCACCAGATGCAGTCCCTCAACCTCAGACTTCTCAGCCTTCATAACTGTAAGAAGGGCATTCCTTTTCTTTACAAATGACCCAGTTTCATGTATTCTGTTATAAGCAACAGAAAATGGCCTAGAACACATATAAACATCCCTCCCTGCCCATGTTACCTCGGAACTATTTAGGGAGGGAAATTCTAGGAAATGTAGTCACAGCTTAGCAGAGTCGGCACAGCACAAATCTGCCACAGGGCAAGTTACTGAGGTCTGCTGTCTCCTCAGCTACCCCACTGCGAGGACTGCGTGTGACAGCACCTGGAGAAGCACCTCGGGCAGCCAGAAATGCTGGCTTCTTTCTGCCACCCCGGGGTCCCCTCCAGGGAAGGAGGGGAGCCCCTCTAGACTATTAGTATGGGGAAACCATTTCAGGGAGATAGCAAATTAATAAAAAGAAGTGAGCTGGACTCAGGTTTTACAGGGCTGAAGTTTATCAGTATATAGGGAGCCCTCCTTATAAAAGAACACACAACTAAGTATAAAATTAGGCACAAAAGTAACTAGAATGAGAAAATAAACAACACATTACAAATGTGTAGAGCTACCTGACACCACTAACATCACAAAATCCAAAAAAAAAACACGATTTCTATTGGTTAACTATCTGACACACTTGCGTAATACTCTTTACCTTCATTTTTACTGCGTCATCTTTGCCTCTATATATGACCTTTTGTAATCTTAGATACAGAAAGAAATAGAAAGTTAATTCAGTCTTTCCTCTATCAAAATATTCTCTATAGAAATAGCAAGTTTTTCAGTCTTCAAGAAAATTTGTTTTTCTGGGTTTGTTTTTTTTTTTGGCCGGGCGCAGTGGCTCATGCCTGTAACTCTAGCACTCTGGGAGGCTGAAGCGGGTGGATTGCTTGAGCTCAGGAGTTCAAGGTCAGCCTGAGCAAGATCAAGACCCCATCTCTACTAAAAATAGAAAAACTAGCCCAGCAAGGGCTAGTAGCACCCTTGTAGTCCCAGCTGCTGGGGAGACTCGAGTATTACTGTAGCCCAAGAGATTGAGGATGCTGTGAATTATGATGATGCCACAGTGCTCTACCCAGGAAAACACAGTAAGACTGTGTCTCAAAAAAATTTTTATGTGTGTGTTTTTAAATTATTGATAGTAGAAAAATTTCTGTTAACTTCACCACTTACCATCTCTCTCTCAAGAGATAGATACACTATAAAATGTTGAGACATTTCTCACAAATTTCATAGCCACTGCAACACCACCCCACATGAGAAGGGATTAGAAGGAAACTCAAAGAGGAAAGAGACAGAGGTCTCAGCATTTGTGGTTAAAATCTCTTACTTTGCAGATTTCACAAAAGCATGTGACCATGTGAACACAGTGCCTTTCCATAGCCTTGCCATATCCCTGCAAGTGGAGAGGGGCACTAAAGTTTAAGTAAATCTGCCTCCAAAGGGGAGAAACTGCAGGAGGGAACTATTTAATACTTAAGAGCTTTATGCAATGCAATGATCAAGGTATTGCCTGATGATATGCAGGTGGAAATGGAAAGGGACAAAGAGCAGTGGGTGTTAGGTCACTGCCAATAGGAGTAGCTTCCTGTTTTCTTTAGATCTGGGAACTTCAGTGGAAGAGTCTGCTATCAATAACTTCAAGAGTCTTGGGTCAAGAGGAACAGCAAGATAGACATGCCAACCCCTGAGAAACTCCACGCATGCTGCTTTAGGGCTGGGAGACAACAACTTGCAATTGGGACATTGCGAATATCATGCCCGTTCAGGGAACACAGTGAGGTCCTTTCAGTATTCCACCAAGTACTTAATGTAGGAAAAACATAAACAACCTTCTAAGTGTTAGCAGAGAAGAACTCCGGAAAGACACTCTCCAGCTCAGGAGAAAGAAGTACCAACCTGGGTCCGGACCGCGGGCTTCAGAGTGGCTGCTCATAAACATGCTACCTCAAAGGGGGTCACAAGTCCTTCCTGGGCCTTGGCGGACGCCGGTGACACTTGCTCTTTTCTTTAACACGATTCTCACCATATAAAAGATGCATGGAGGGGGGTGGTGGTACAGAAAAGTATTAAAAAAAAAAAAAAAGAAAAGAAAAGAGTTAAACCATTCACAATCCCACAACCTATTCCGTGTTTGTATTTTGGAATACTTCCCCCAGTTACTTTTAGTCATCGTTTTTGAAAGGATCACAGCTTACAGCCTGCTTTATTCGCTTAACATCTCTATGTCTTCCCCCCCCCCCCGCAGGTTACTGTGAGAGTACAAACAACTAGGTTACAATATTTGCATTTGTTAGGTTGAGTCCCTCTTGGAGTTGTGCTCCGCAGGCACAAGTGTGCCCTACACCCTACATGGTGCCCATTAAGTAAGTGGGAGCACACCAATGCCTTCCCCTGCTCCCCCTCCCTTTTCTTCATACCCCCATCCCTATGTCTTGAAATATCCAGTACATGATTCAAATACCTGCTAAGTATTTCATCACCTATTTTAAGTATCTGGCCAGTTTCAAAACAGTTCTACGGAAAGGAAATAAAGGAATGTGGGAAGTCCCGAAGTGAAAGCCTGCTTTGCGAAACACCGTGTTGCCGCCCTGCCTGGCAGGCTCACCTTTAATTCCGGGTCCGTTCACCCTGTCCCTTCTGTGCCCCCTTCCTTCAGCGCTGAACTGGCCTTCTGGCCCATCTTCCCTGTCCCAGCAGGCGCAGGCGCAGGAGCGGAGAGTGGGCCAGTGCCTGCCCGGCTACTGCGGTGACGTCCTGCTCCGCACCACTTGCCCCTGAAAGGCGGGAAGTTTCTCTCTCTCCCTCCCATTGCTCTGTGTCCACTGTCCCCCAAACCTCACTCTTTCCTCTACAGGGGCCCATTCTAACCCCAGGACCCTTAAACTATTTTTTAAATGAGGTTAAAAGCTTAATATGTGTCTTTTTGCTATTAAGAAAGTTGAACCTAAAGGGAAGACAATCTAGGCACCAAGTAGCAGGGTAGAGGGCGGGATAGGGATCCAGGCCCCACCCGGGCTCTGGGTTCCAGGGGTGTTTCCGTAAGGATCGCGCTCCCCAAGGTGGGCGCCCGGAGGGCTCCGTCCCCGCCCTCCTCGGTGCCAGGCCCAGCCGTCCGGATCCGCGCTTGGGAGCCGGCTTCGGTGGCTTGGTCCCCACAGCCCTGGGCGCCGTCCCGGGG